TTGAGTGAATTGTGAGTAGGGGAACCTATTTCTTTTCAGAACTCACCTGACAAATTCTTCATTTTCCTGGTTCATCTTCTCAGCAACATTTGACTTGATTTCTAAACACCTCGCCAACAAGCTGTCACGCTCTGTCTGTAAAGAAACATTAAAACAAAAATATGCAGGATAAGTTAGAATAAAGTTCAGTCAAGCACGCCGATAAGAGCAATGCCATTGCACACCACGACAAACACAACTACACATAACCAGCACACAGCAAGGGTCGATGTTGACCGCTACTGACCGGAGTGACTAACCTGGGCCTCTTTGAAGTTTTTCTCCATCTGCATGTAGATGAGGTGGAGCGCGTTGTACTCGTCCTTGAGCGTCTGGTTGGTGGCGTTCAGCTCGGAGTTGGTCTGCTCCAGCGCGGCGATCCGCTCCTTGAGCGTCTCACAGTCGGCCGTCGACTCTGCCAGACTGGCGCGGACAGAGACGAGGGAGCGAGCGTAAATAGTGTGCTTACTATTCACCTCATATGCAATGTAACGTAAATATGAATTAATACGGTGCTGGCGCAAATAAGACCAGCATTGTCGCGCCCAGCGCAACGACAATATTATAAGCATGAAATCATGTTACGACTTACATAACGCATTTAGACCGCATGCGGTAGCAAGTCACCGACCAAATGTATGACCAGCCGTATGGTATCCCTGCATCCCAGCGGATCTGCCCCCCCCCCCCCGCTCAGACTGACAGCTGATCGGTGGCGGCCAGCTGCTGCCGCAGTTTGGCCAGGTCGCTGTTCAGGTCGACGATCATCTGTGCGTTCTCGCCCCGCCTCCGGTGAAGGCTGGTCAGCTCCTCCAGCATGTGCACCTGCTTCTGCTCCAGTACCTGTCACACGCAGAGGGTGCAGCTACAGACAGTGACGGTAACTCAGCTCAGTGGGTACGACCAGTCATGAAGACAAACGTAAAAAGACAGCGCGATCTCTGCTACAGTAGCAGCGCAGTTTGTCACTTACACCACAGCGTACACGGCGGTTTGGGACGAACAGAAAGCGCTAAAGCGGCCCGGCTTGGAGTCAATAACGGGTCGACTCACCGAGTTGGAGACTCAGCCCACTGAGCTTTTTGAGTGGACAAATAAATAAATGAATTACTGCTTGGAAAAGTGAATGAATGAACAAATGTGTGAATGATTAAATTAGTTTGTCGGTGGATGAATGAATGTGTGAATGATTCCCTGCATGTGGTAGTGACTCGCTCGTTCTTCGCCCAAAAGGTGTATTACTGGTGAATAGATGAATGGTAGTAAAATCGCAATAACTCTAAGAAGCAAAGGTTAAGCTTTACAAACCAATACATTTGTGCCTAAAATTGATTGAGAAAAATGTAGTTCTGAAAATCCATCCAATTATATTCAACTACGCAATCGCATTGGCCGACCGGAAAATGGATTATTGGCATTGTTAAAATCACCGAGTTTCCGATAATGCAACCTCATGTTCTACTCTAGCAGAAGGAACATGACTCATTAACGATATGGCACAGCATATTTTGCGGAATCAGCCACAGTCAGTTAGAGACAGTGTAAGCAAGATGGGCAATGTTCAGCAACACCAAACTTGACCTTTTAACCCTACCGAGCAGTGCTGCGGAGTCGATGGATTTTCAGCGACTCCGACTCCGACTCCGACTCCGGCTTTCAAAAACCAGCTCCGACTCCGACTCCGACTCCGGGCAGAATTGTCGACTCCGACCGACTCCAACTCCCGACTCCGACTCCGCAGACCTGGCAGGGCTGCGGAGTCGACGGATTTTCGGTGACTCCGACTCCGACTCCGGCTCGGGTTTCTAAAATCGACTCCGACTCCGACTCCGACTCCGGTCACAACTGTCGACTCCGACCGACTCCGACTCCGACTCCGCAGCCCTGCTACCGAGTACACCTAATTCCCTGATCTCACCACAAATGCCCTTAGCATCAACTTAGCAAGTGACACATGAGCTCCTGTGCAATGGTGGCACGACATGAAGAAGTGAGAAGCATCACAAAAATTAAAAACACAGTGCATTTAAAAAGAGCTCCGAGCATATCTACGTGGGGATCACATCCTGTTCATTAGATCTATGAGTACAGGCACAGTGGACTTTTTATACCGCTCAGTTTTGGCCCGCCGTACGACAAACTTTCGCTGCCGGCGCAGAGGGCGCCTCACATTTGCCAGCTGCTCGCCCGGGTACAGTGGGTGGGCGGGGTTGGCGAGGATGTCGGCCGCCAGCTTGCAGAGGGCAGCATCGCGACGCTCACTCAGCGTCTCGAGGTTGAGGAGCTGGCAGGCAGAGGCGTAGTCGGTGTAGTTTTCGTATCCTATCATGATTTTGCAAGCTCTTTTCCGGACTTGCTCGATTACGGCCTTTTTACCAGTCGTTGACTGTCACGTGGTCAAATAAACCTTTATGTATGTATGTATGTATGTACATCAGCAAGCCAATCTTCAAATTTCACATGACTTGCCATCGCAGACCATTCCAAAGGTACGGTGCAGCCAAGTCCAGTCACCCCTGCAGTCACCTCACCTGTATCTTCTCGGTGGCGGCGGCCAGGGCGGGCCCCGCGTCTCCACTGATCTGGTGGCCACCGACGGCCCGCTCCTGGAACAGCGTCCTGTTGATGTTCTGACGCAGGCTGTCCGCACCCTCAAACAGACGGTTGTCTGCCAGCACACAAACACACTGTGGTCAGAGAGCTGAGCTGGGCGCATGTATCTATGACAATGCATTTGCTATCTATTTGTTTTTCAAATGTACTTATCTTCAGTTGCATACGTACTTGATGCAGTCTAGGGTTAGCACAGAAATTTCCAAGCATAACATCTATTTGCATATGCTTCATTGTGTGCTGTTGCATGGCCTGAACCATAAAAGGATTCAGAAACATGGTGTGATCTGATGCATGGGGCAACCTCCCCCCAAAAATACTTTATACCGTAAAATGGGGTGTTAAGGGACAGTTTTGAGGTGTTTTGTTATATAACTCAAGAAGGGTTGGAGATGGAAGCACCAAATTGTCAGCATTTTATGTGGAATTTGGTGCTTTACATGCCTGCCACATTAAAGTTTTTAAGATTTATGCCTGCATATTATTTTTTATTATTTTTCATCACTGTCCCTCAGCACCCCAATGTGGGGTGTTAAGGGACACCTATATTATTCCAAGAAATGGTCATCAAATGCCCACAATTGGGGTGTGGGAGGGCACACAATTTATTTATTGAAATGTTTAGCATATTCTGTCACAAAACAAGTCAGGTTCATTCACCACTAATGACCTTTTTAGCCAATTACGTGTAATGCAGTTTACGCTTGTGGAAAAAGTGCTAATTATAAGGTAAACATAACCAAAAAGTACCCTTCTGTCATCAATAAAAACCCATGTTGAAGCTAGTCACTTGTCATTATGTTGCCCTCTTTGTTTTAGCCTTTTTATGATGACATCACATTTACCTACATCAGTCTCCATTGACCCATCATTGTAAAAGAGTGTTGAGATGTTTTGTTACATAACTTAAGATGTGTTAGAGATAAAAGCATGAACTTGCCAGCATTTTATGTGGAATTTGGTGTTTTCCATGCCTACTTAATTAAATTATATTTAGATTTTATTTTTTATTTTTTCTTCCCTGTCCCTTAGCACCCCACATCCACCTCAAAATATGCATGTATCCGGAAAAGAGGAAGAGGATGATAAATGAATGGGTGGATTTGCACAAGTTTTTCAGGAAACATGTGCAATACATGTGACAATACACCTATGCATTCATTTTCCCTGTACACCCACTAGTTTATGTGGTACACACAAAGTTTTGGAGGTGTTTCAATTTTGTGAAAATGTAGCATGATTTTCAAATCCATTTTTGAACCAAATCACTTGCATGAAAAACCATACCATTTTCTCCTATGGTCAAGAGCAAAACAGTGTCAACTACCACACTGAAGTTTTTATTGAACCTACTCAAATTAGGAAGTTAATATGACTCAAAGTTTTTCCCATGCAACTGTCCCTTAACACCCCACTGTCCCTTAACACCCCATTTTACAGTATTATTAACTCCTTGGATTTGGCATCCTCAGGGTTCAGCAATCATTTGTGTGGAAACCAATGCAGACTTGTGCATACAACTTTTGAGATTTATATTAGAAAAGGAATATAGTTTCATTACCTAAGGTGGCTAGAGTCGAGAGCCTAGAAATGGGAATCAGAATATCAATATACCTACACTGAATGCCAAAGCCCAAGTCTGTCATTAGGCCATTCTAAGTTATTGAAAGATGTTTATGCATGAAAGACTCAGCAAAAAGCTAAAAAACAATTTTTTTGCTTGGTTAGACAGGTACCTAATTGACTTATGTAGAAATAATTTACCAATAGAATGTATTCCTGCTTACAATCATTTATTAGTCCTCGGAAGCATTCCACCTGACGCATGTCTCTCTCCCGCAATGCATCTACTATCTTCTCTCTCCACTTGGGTAGCTCAGCCATGTTGAAATCTGAAATGAAAAAGGAAAATAAGAAACAGAACATTTGGCATCAGAGTCCCCTCACTTTTAATGTTGCATCAATCTCAAGGTCAATGCTCACTTGCAGCAAACATCACAACTAGCGTACCTCAAATCACTTCGAAAAGCTTAACTAAATAATTTAATTGACATTTCCAGGGGATGCACCATAAAATAAATATACAATTACTACCTACCACTTGCCCACCACCACTTGCCACCAGTCGCCAAAATAAAATGACAAAACACAAATGTTTACATGTAGACTGTAGAAAGGAGGGAAAGTAACGCATGAGCGACAAAAGAATGCTTGTAACTAAAATGCTGCAAAATTTTGGGCGGAGGCGCTGAAAACAGAAACGAAAGCACTTAGGAGAGAAGCATCAAAATGCTGAAATACGAACATTTTTCGTTAGAGCACATGTACATCATCCATGCCCAAAAACAACTTTCAACACAATTGTTTTTATCGATGGATCTGATCTTATAATAAAAACAGCAGCGATGTATTTCTAGAGATGGAACGAAACATTCAATCAGTGGAAACAAGTACAGTAATATCTAAGAAACTTTTATAGTATTGGAGTCACAGAATGCAATTTACTTTTCAAATAATATAAACAATGTTTTTGTCACAGTATTTCATCAAATAAAATGCAATTCACATCGATTGTACAGCACAAACCTACAAGTACTGGTACTTGTCTAGCAGACGAAATTTTCCACTGCGTCGATGGCCCGGTGGTTGACATTTTCGCCGGCCGGGAGAGTGGCGCTGTCGTCTCGGGGCCGTGGGGGAGTGTGAGTGTGTGCGGGAACGGGTGTTTTTTAAGAGTGAATTATATGTTCAAGAGTGTAAGACAGTGTTGACCTATATCGGACGATAATGCCTGCACCACAGAAAGCTAGCTTCGCGGAATTTCTATGGAACCGAGAGGAGAAGACGGTTCTGGGCCGTACCGGCCTTAGTTGGTGTAAGTACCCGATATCGACCCATGGTTTTGTGGTCACACAGCCCCATTGAGCCACGGCGAGCGCTGGTTCAGGCTTATAACTTCGCGGAAAGTCATTAATATCATCTTTGGCATTTGTCCGTGCAAAATATTTCATGTAACATCCAGTTTCCTACCTGAAATCCGTATCAAACTTGCCCTTCATCGACCCCGCCTCCGATGAGCGTACGGACCGGTTGGCTGCGTAAATTGAGGGTGCCTGAGGGTGCCAAGCATCGGATTCCTAGTAATCCCAGCTCGAATAGATCGTTTCACCACCCAGCCTTATTTTTATTTCATAAAATGTGTCAAAGTGGTTAGACTGTAAGGGTGCCATCACCTGATCCGCAGGGGTGGAAGCATTCGCTAGCGGCGGTAATAGATCAACATGGGCTCCCCTAATGTTTTGGCTTTGCGTTGACCTGCAGCAGCACTTATGCAAGCTCAGCAGCTTCAGGTTACATATGTTCCGACCGCTTGTCTCAGCCTGGCCCAGGGGTTTGGTTTGGCCGAGCCCTGAGGGCTGCGATCTGCAAAAACCGAAGGCTCACCAAAAAGTCATCTGTGAGGCGCAACCAGACAGTTACCGTAGTTCTAAGCGGAACTCCAGAGTCAGTGATAAAGTATTTGAAGCAGTTTGATGCATTTCTCGAGGGCCGAATACTCGACCCCGCCACCATCGCTCGATGAGGAACTTCCCGACCCGTTGCATGCTGGTCCCTTGCACTTGAAATGAGGACTCAGGACAGGCCCTGATCGTGACCTGAAATTTAGTTAAGGTCAATTTACGCCCCAATAATGGAACTGCCTCAATCAGAAGGAACTTTTTGACAATTCGGGAATCTAGTGCCACTAATATTCCCTGTTCCCTATAATTGGGTACCTGTACCGTTTAAATTAAAAATCAGTGGTAGGATCGGTTTCCTCGTGTAGTGACAACGTAGTGATGACTGAATTTGGTGAAAATGTATTCATTTTAGTAGCTTTTACGATTAACCACCTGCCATTTTTATCCATTTCGAAAAGTTCAAGCTCACTTGAGCCGTGGAGAATGGAACGGATCACGGTGCCGGATTGGCGGGCTCGATTTTCCCCGGCTCAATACTTTCCGACTTCGTACGAACGACCCCCGGCTGAAGCGAAAGGCTGTGGGCCCGACCGTGGGCGCGGTGTCAGAGCCGAGCATCAACCGGCTAGATGGAGGGTTGGAAACTATACATACAGGCACAGCGTTCACCGGGAGCGTAATGTAAGACTTGAAAATAAAACTTCCCAAAACACGTCTATTTGGTGTTCGAGGGTCTTTTTGCAAGGATAGCAGCTTAGTTCGTTACGCCTTGTTTGAGAGTAGCCGCGTTGGCCAGGCATTCAAGCATCCTCTGACGTTCAGTTAAGTGTGAAGCCACGCCCACCAGCTTAGAAGCATTCATGATGTTTATTGTTTAGCATTAATCATAACATCAAGAGCTTTCATGTGATTTCAAGTCCTATGTAAAGCTTATGCCGAATAGCGAAATAGGCGCCTTCTGAAAAAGTGTACTGTACAGGAACCATAGGCGCGGGAACCGGGGGGGGGGCAGTGGGGGCAGCTTACCCCCCCCCCCCCCCCCAACTCTGGAGCCGTGAGGGCGGTGCCCCCACAACTTTGAGACGGAATACCCACTTTTTTGCAAATGTTTTTTTGTTGTTGTTGAAAAAGCTAAGGGATGAAAAAGAAGTGGCCTAAAACCGGTGAGAAAACTAGATTTGGGGGTACCCTACGTTGATCTCTATGATGGTGTGCCCCCCCCCCCCCCCCCCCCAGTCTGAAAGTAGTTCCCGCGCTCCTGAGTCAGGAACGGTGAGATATATGTGTGCAGTGAAGCAATGCCGACGACTAACCGGTGTTTCTGTTCCTCGTTTCAGTTAAAATCACCGTATTCTATATTATATTCTACTCGTGCCTGGCGGCTTTCTGGTCGTTATGCCTCTTCATCTTCCTGCAGACCATCAGCTACAAGGAGCCGAGGTGGAACACCAACACTGGCAGCATCATCGGCAAAAACCCCGGTGAGTGGCCCGGCTTGGGGCAGAGCCCGCCGTCCCGGCGTGTATCCGCACCACGCGCCCGTCGGCCGAGCGGCCGAGGGGGCGGGGCAGTGGAACCGCTCAGCGCGGGGTGAACGGCAACGAGGGGCACCCAGCTCCGTACGACTCCCACTGGATATTTCCAGAGCCGGAGAACACAACACTGCCCGAGTCGGGTGTCATACTCGTGGTAGCTCAAGGGCCATCTCCCTCCCCTCTCCTAACCCCTGTCAAACGAGAGCTGATCTTGGTCGGATCATTTTGCCAGAATGTAGTGTACCAGCGCTACGATCGGCTAAATACAAATGCGAGGCATTGGCGAAAGGATTCTCCGGGGGAATTTTGTCATGCATATACATATTCAACTTGTCAGGTGGTCAAAAGTTACCATGGATAGCTGATAGCCGGTTGCAACTGTGTGTGATTTATCGAGAAGCTGCAAAATACATGGTAATAATATCCCATACTAGAACTGTGCTCAAAAGGTAGCTGATGGCTCAATTTTGAGGCTTTTGAATGAGACTTCGTGGAAAACTAGCAGCACTAGCCACTGGGTGTATGGAATTAGAAGGGCTTCGGGGTTTCTGTTACTCTTCATTGTGAAAACTATGGGTAAGAGAACTTGACTGAAATAGTCTCAGTCCAAAAAGCATACTGAATATGTCTGAAAGAGAAATTCAGCGTGACATGAGTCTGGTGTTGAGGTGGTATGAAAAAGCGCTTTAGAAAATTTGTCTAGAACTAACTGAGCTGCAATGGCGATCAAGTTTTCCATTCTTTATAGTTTATTTTATTGTAGGCTTTGGAGTTTGGAGCATACCTACATTGCCACTCTTGTTAACGTCATGTTAGTGTGTCAGCTCGCAGACGTTATCTTGGAAGCTCGAAATGCTATCCTGCGAAATTGTCTGTTCGCGAATAATTGATGATCTGTGGACGCAACTTTGGACTGCTAATCTGGCATGGCCAGTGACCACGGTATCAGTTGCCGATGCAAAAGAACCTTTCCGCTCTAAATTTGAAACATTTTCCGAGTTTCATTGCGATGACTCACGGGTGGTTCCGGCTAGACATGCATGGATCTAAGAGGTTGAATCGGGGATCTTTATCTGGGATCTTCGATTTTATTGCGATGACTCACCGGTGTCATCTTTGCTCATTTGTTGGCCGAATGGCGAACGTCTCTAGCAAACGCCCCAACTTTGGCTTTACGTCCTGTGTTCCGACTGCCCTGGAAGCTTCTTTGACCTTTGACATTTCGATGGTCTGACAGCGACTGTTTTTGAAGACCCGTCGCGGGGCTCCGCCCACTCCTGTCTGAGGTCCCGGTCTGCGCCCCTTCCCTCCCCTCCGGTCCCGTTCGGCGCCCCTCCCCTCCGGCCCCGGCGCGGCGCCGCCCACTCGGTGCGTTCTGCCGGGGGCGCGTGAAATGGGGGTGGCAGCGTCCTGTGGGGCGGAGGTCGGAGGATGCCGCGTCACCGCGTCACAGTTGGACCCCGGCCAGGCGGCCGCCGCTCGCGCACCGCCGCCGGCCGCGGCCGGTCACGTGACCGCGGCCTGACCTTGAGCGGGCCGCTCATACGCCCCTCCCACTAGTGGCCATGTGTGCCATGCTCCGAGTAATGGGCGGCGGTAACGAGCCGGCTCCCCGGTTCGAGCCCTCACACCCGCCGGCTGATGGGCGCACCGTAATTATCAGGAACATTGACCGCGTTCTGCCCCAGATTCGACGTACTATGTAAAATACTAATTAGATCAGCCCCGAGTAGGCATGATCTGATACCCTTCAGATTATAGCAACCTGGCATCCTCGATCCTTCCGTGCGTCATTTCAGATGCATCAGCGAGATGTGCATTGTGCACATGGAAAGGAGCAAAAAAGCCTAAAACTTTTCACGGTCCCTCCAGCTCCACTGTCATTTTCCTTTCGCCCGATACTCTACGGATTGCGGCTCGTTAGCTTGCGTGTCTTTGGACGCTTGATCACTTCTTGGAAACGTCTCGAGTGGTTTGGCCGTCAGGAATTATTTGACCTGGCCCTGTCTCAGCGAAATCGACAGTACCACAATTGATGGCCTATGCTGATGCTCGCTTACAACTGAATACGTGACGAGGGTGGCGCGTGTGGCTACAGTGTGGTAATATTCGGAGTGGATGAAACGCGTTCGATGTTTGAGATAACGATGCTATGGAATCCATAAATACACATGGAACAGATGTGCTGGCGACTGGCGTACTTAGATACGGGTATTTCAGGAACTTTTACTTGCGGTGAAAACGATGGTGCCAAAAAAGGTTTAAGAATGAAATTCGACATGGACCCGCTAAAAATATTAAAATGGAGGCGGCATCGTCTTATTATTTTCCAGTTCAAGCCGCAGCACTGTCTCCGCTGGCTGTTTGGCTCTCCGGTCCAGCGTTTCCCTGTTTCGGGTCACGGACCGTCCATTGGCGGTAACAGCTGGCATCCTCGTCTGCTGCCATGACGCCGCGTCCTGTCGACTGAGTCGATTGAGGCCGGCTGGTCCCGGTTGGCACCCGGCTCCGTCACATCGCCATCCCGCCATGGGCGGCTCTTACCAGGACGGTCGGGATGCCAGGGCTTACCAGGGATGACATTGCCATAGGCATTGTTATTGACTCGAATAGCGGCCTTGGCCCAGAATCGAATCGCAGAAAAACGGAGCTTGCTGTGCCAAAGGAGATCTTTGCAGTTTGTTATGTCATTGTGTGCTTTAGATAGGTCCATCGCAACACGTCCACTGCGTATTGCCCAAGCTGTAAACACGTATCCCAAAGTAATATGCCTGGTAACTTGGTTAGGATATTGATCACGCTTGATGTAAGGATTCCAATAAGGTGCTGCGTGGGTTTATCGTGGACCACTGTGCATATCCCAATAATTAAATGGTAACCCGCGGGCAATGGCTGGTAAAGTTTTGCTACTTTTTCATATGCTACATCACGACCTTTTTTCTCTGGGCCTACGACCTATGGCTGCATGTATCTTTTTTTTCTTTTAAGTTTTATTGCATTTCAATGTTGTGTACCTATCGTGGGCAATGATTTGGACCCGATGCGACTAGAAAGTGGCGAATAGTCGCATCCCATCCTAAAAGCCGCCCAGTTGTTTGTGCACAGTAGGTACGTGCCGTGCAAATCGTCTGCGACTTCACCTGTAACTGACTCTTGTCGCCTCTGCGTGTGTTCCCAGGTCTGGGCTTCCGGCCGCGACCGCCCGCGGAGCGGATCGAGAGCACACTAGTAATGTTCAACGAGGGCCCCGGAGAGAACTGGGGCCACTGGGTCAGCGAGCTCACCAATGTCACGGAAAGTAAGTACGGAACCAGGAGTCACAACTAGTGGCAGTGTCCGCGGGCTCTGGGATACACGCAACGAAACACAGTGCAGCCTACGCTGCACCGACGCAGCGCTGGTGCAAATAGGTGAAAACTGGGACTGAATAGCGTGGAGTCGCCAATCAGTGAGGTGCACCCTCAAACAGAATTTCTTTGATGTGCGCTCTCATCAAACTTCGGCGCTGCTCAGGACGACAGCCTTGTGCGTTGGGTACTACAGAGTGACGAGGCGGAGCTGTCTCGGCTGCGGCGGCAGGCCATAAATTCCACACACACGCACTCCGCTGGAGAGTGCCGTGTCACCGCCCGTGACGAGTGATTTGCATCCCATGCGTTTATGCATGGCTCTGCCTAGTGAAGGCCGGTCACTTGTAAATTGTATCAGAGGTGCGTGCCTTCGTGCCTTGAGATTGGTCGATTCTCTTTCTCTGCGTGCACCTGCTTCACGCAATTGGCTCAACCACAGAGTTAAAATGTTATAAAATGTTATAAAATGTTATCGGCTGGGGGCGTTTAACGCCCCCCCCCCCCCCCAGCAAACGGTGGGTGGCGAAATACCCCAGCAACTGCCGGGTTAATAGGGATCACATTGGTATAGAAAGAATTTTTCCAAGTTTAAAAATCAAGCGTTGGCATCGTGAGAAGCGTTAGGGTGGCCGCTTTGCCCCACTCTCCCCTATAGTTTTCCATTCTCATATTCCGAACGGAACAGCTGTGCCAGTCACATGAAAGCCTGTTTCAAAGCTTGCCGAGTCTTTTGTACATCTTATTTTACTTGGACCGCCTGTGTTATCGTTGGCCAAATTTGCATGTGACGCGAATGTACGTCAGAACGGCTTGACGTCAGATCCCGAGGGATGTACCGCGAATGTCATACGAGAACGATCATCAGATATTTCTGACCGTGTTTCAGTGTTTCGCCACTCGTCATTACGTACTGCCACGATGGAGCTCAAGAACAGTAGAGCGCTGTTCAAGTGTTCAGAGATAGAGCGAGCGGAGCCGCTCTACAGAGGGGGTACTGCGCCGCGGACCGAGCAGCACCTGTGGGGTCGAGCTCGCCCGTGACCGTGCCGGTGTAGGAGTCCAAACGGACTTACAACCTCATCAAACTGTGTCCGACCTAGCCCTCGAACAAAACATATTGTTTGGAGTCGCCTTGAGCCCATTGCTCTCCAAATCCGCTGTTTTAGGCATGTTCTGACAAACTGTAGTGATGAGGAAATACGCTATCTTTAAGTGTTGGCATAAATGGACTCGTGCGCCGTTTCTATAAACAAGTTGGTAGCATTCACGATGCACCACAAGCCAAACACTCTAGCGGCAAGCTTAGCAGCCAGTGGGGCGGCGTCGGCAGCCTCAGTTTACAGGCTGGGCGTCAACACTCAATATACGACACCCGACCCCCGGGTGCTGAGCCGAGCCCATCGAAGGGTGCACCGGCCCGCGCCCCCAGACGGCGGTCAGCGTTCGCTGCCTGCTGGGTACAGCAGTGTCCCAAAAGTTGTAGATGTGGGTGGGAAACGACATCCAAATGAAAATCATTTTTCACTCTCACCTCCAGTTTTCAAGCCCAATTTTCCACTCCCAATTCCACCGAGAAGGAACAATTGCGTGAATGGTTGTTTTGCATCTGTCACAATTGTAGATAGATTAATGTTTTTGATCATTTTCCCACTCTTTTTGGGCCTTACCTGACCGACAATTTTTCACTCTCATCCTTTTTTTGGTCAGCAATTTTCCCCTCTGACACCCAAGCAAAAATATGATTTTGGGACACTGGGGTACAGGAGCGAAAACGGAACACCATCGTCCCTACGAACAGCGGTGTGCGTTCTTTTGGAACCTCTACACACGAACTCCACTCTTCCTACTCGTAACTGCTGTGAATAAGGTCTGGGAGTAATGCGGTCTTTCCCTGTTCATAATACCGCAGGAACGCTGGCGGCCTTGACTTGACAAACGGCGTGAGAAGCGTACCAGGCACAACAACTGGCGTAAAACCACAAACCACACAAGGAGTTGTACGAGTGGGAAATGGTTGTACTACCTGGTGAGGTGCGACTAAAAATGTGTACTGACAAGACCAGCATCCATTTTACGCTCCAAAACTGTTCAGTCACATACCTGCATAGTACACAGTGCAAACCTCGCCCGTCATCAGTGGAAACCCGTAACGAGTTTGAGTCGAACCCACTATCTTTCGGTGACCTGTACCGTCCCTCTGCCAGTGCTGCAGAAGTTCGTTTCGCTTTGATAACACCCTCTTTTTATCGTCCACAGAGTACAAGCAAGTCCCTGAGAAATACAAGAAAAACATGAAGACGTGCACCTATGGCGACGAGATGGAGGGAGACGATTTCTGCGTGTTCAACATCGCAGAGCTCGGCACCAAGTGCAGCAAGGACAGGAACTTCGGCTACGAGGCCGGCAACCCCTGCATCATCGTCAAGCTCAACAAGATCTTCAACTGGCGCCCGGACGTGTACGCGACGTCGGACGACCTGCCGGACAACATGCCGGAGAGCGTGCGCGAGGTGATCGCGCGCGACTTCACCGAGCCCGGCTCCAACGAGGTGAGACACTCGCGGAGGGAGTGCCGCGCGGGTCGGGTCTTGAGAAATTACAGCCTATCGCAATGAGTCACGATGTTCATCGACAAATCACGAGCTTCGCCAAATAGCTGCAGCCGGCAGGCAGGGCCGCTAGCAAAGGTCTTTTAGACGCGTATTGTTGAGCACCTCTTGGTCGTCCTTCGCACTTGATGTATCCGCGCTACGGCGGCCTGGCCGTGCTGACCGCCCGACCCGCCCTGTCCGCAGATCAACAAACAAAACGTCTGGATCACGTGCGAGGGAGAGAACCCCAACGACTTTGAGAACATCGGGCAGGTGAACTACTACCCGCACCCGGGCATGCCGGCCTACTACTACCCGTTCCAGAACCAGCCCGGCTACCAGTCACCACTGGTGGCAGTCGAGTTCGCCAGCGTCAAACGTGAGTGAATGACTCCACGGCTTGTCTAAGCCATCTACCATCCGCGGCTTCCTAAACCAGCAACCATCCGTCCGTCTCGCCTTAGCCAGCCCCACCATCATCACTGCCTGACTGAGCCAGTCACCGTCTCCGGGGCTCGCCTGAGCCACTACCGTCTCCGGGGCTCGCCTGGGCCAGTCACCGTCTCCAGGGCTCGCCTGGGCCAGCCATCAGCCTCGTGGCTCGCGTTTCCTCCACTGGCTCGACCAGCTAATCATAAGCCGGACGAAATCCCGCGTCGCAAGGGCCTCTCGGACGGGCACCGGTACGGCTTCCGTCGACTCCGGCGCGGCGGGAGGGGGAGGGGAGGGGGTCGGTGGCGTCACCGGGGTGTCCCATGTGCGGGGCTCGCGGCGCGCCGTGCCAGCGGTGGCGGCCGGGCTGATTTAGCCGCCGATGACGTTCGTTGGCACGCCGGCGGTCTGTGGGCGTGCGCTAACCGCTGCCACCGCCGAGCCGCCGAGCCGCCGTCTGCCGGCGACGGCCAACCACAACCGGTTTGTTGGCCGGGCCCGATCGCCGCCGGCACGGGTGAACGTTGCACAATCGTCTAATTTGACGGCGGCTGTGTCGGCCCGGCCCCAGCGGCGTCGCCACTGACCCGGAGGGGCCGGGAGTCGCCACTGGCCCGCGTCGGTGACGACATGTTACCAAGAAACGGTCCTCTGGCGAGAGACCGATGGCCTCGGCGATTGGAGCGGCGGGAATAGAAATAGAGGGATGGCGAAGGAGAGAGGAGAGGGACGGAGGAGACGGGGAGGGGCGGAGGAGACGGGGAGGGCGGAGGAGACGGGGAGGGCGGAGGAGACGGGGAGGGCGGGTCTGCTCTGTGCCGTGGCGCGGGTCCATTTGCCGTTCACTTCAGTGCAGCCGCCGGCCGCGGTAAAGCCATCGCATCTGGAGTAAGATGCGATAAAATCGGGGCAGTGTTTTGCACAGACTCGCCTGCCGCTACCCTCTTCAAAGATACATGCCTACGTGGATCATGGATAATGCAATTCTGATACCATAGTAAGATCGCTGAGGCAGTTCGCCTTTGCTTCCAGTGTGCGTGTCTCAGTTTCAAAGCAAGGAGGGGCGCGACTTTCTCTGGATTTCATATGATGCCGACGTTTGTCGTGAGACCCCTGGTTGAAGGTGTGGCATTCGTCAGTATCTATCGAAGACTGGCGACATTTTTTCAAAATTAAGTGGAATGTTCCACTTCCCATCTCTCAGTATACGTGATCGGCCTGCTTAAAATAGCTGCCGGCCTCTGAAACCTGCGATGACCAAGCTAATTATCGTTTCATTTGTTATTACAACAGCGTTCGGATCGTCAAAATCTGAAGATAGGATAGCACGCATGGTATTCTGAGAACCTGACATTTTATGATATCGACGTTCCTTTTTTTCTCGACCTCACCCGTGTTAACCCTCGCCCTGGCAGGGGGGGGGGTCGATGCGACCCCCCCCCCTCAGGTTTTTCGGAGATAGCGTAAAAACGGCGGCGCGCAGCGCCGCCAAATTTGGCACAGCTTATGGGGCAACCTTTTTACACATGACCTGAAAATTTCAGGTCCGGGTGACCTTGGGTCAGGTCACCAGGTCAGAAAAACCGGTACAAGGTCATGGTCAAATTTCAACTTTCTTTATGCACCTGTCCAGCTCACAGTTTTGGACTGATTTCCTTCAAACTTTCAGGGTGTGCTAAGTTCACCGAGTTGTATAACATATAGTTCGGGTTTTTTTAGGTCACTGACCTGAGGTCAGTTAGAGGTCATTACGTCGTAATGTTAAGCCTATGGGAAAATACTAAATTCGGAAAATACTGGAGATATCCGCTTCGTTATATCACTTTTGTGCTTTGAAACCACAGTGCTTAACAGCAGGTCACTTGGTGCTTCTTTGTTTGGTGTAGTTATCCATGGGTCAGGTCAAATGAGGTCAACTGAGGTCAAATGACGTTTTTGCCAATAACTTGGCACATAATGACGCTAGAGCTTAAAAAATGGTGTCATTGTGTTCCTGGTGATCAGCCGAATCGAATGATATGCGATATGATGCAATTTGGTTAAGTTGAACTTAATTGATTAATTAAAGTTTACTTAAAAATTAAGAAAAACTTTAAGTACACTTAAGCAAGCTAAAAAGTATATCATTCGACGCGCCTTGACGTGCTGAGTTCACTGGTGCTTTTCTTTTTGCTCTATCTTAATTAGATCAAAAGTTATAAGCGAAAAACTTTTGACCTGTTTTTAGCGAAATTTTTACATTTATACCCCCCAAAACCCCCCTAAATATTGACCTAGAGCAACCAAATTTGCACAGGGGCGAGAACTCCGGGGGGCCCACCTACCTACCAAATTTGGTGTTTCTAGGTGCCATAGGAGCCAATCGCGAGGGGGGGGGTCGCATCGACCCCCCCCCCCCTGCCAGGCCGTGTTATGAAAAATGCCCTGCCAGGGCGAGGGTTAATTCGCCGGCTGTGCGGTCGTCCTGCTCCACTGACGATGCTCGAGTGCTGCTTATTTGCGCTGGCCGCCGACCTGTCAGTGGTTCGTATCAGCGCCGGACGGCCGCGGACGGTCCCGGCCGCCCGTTTGTTGTCTCTGGACGCCCAGTCCGGTCATGTGCGCCGCGCCACTTTTTGCCGGGGAGGGGAGGGGAGGGGAGCGTCGTCCCAGACATGTGTGTGCCGCCTGCGTCGCGTCACTGTCCCATCTGTCCTTGGATGGGCCCGATCGGCGGACGGCGAGCCGGGGGAACCTCTGACCCTGCTGACGCACCCGTCCGGCCCCCTTTCAGGTGGTGTCCTGTTGAACATCGAGTGCAAGGCCTGGGCCAAGAACATCTTCCACGACCGGAAGGAGCGGAAGGGCTCGGTGCACCTGGAGCTGATGGTCGACTGAGGGTGCTGCCGCCGCCGCCCGACGGCACACGTAGTGTTGCGTTAGTGAGCGTCTGGAGTCGGACAGCGGACGGGGCGAGTGCCAGCGAGCGAGCGCCGGGGACCGAGGCGCTGCCGGCCGCCGTCTGTGTGCCTGTGTGCGCGCGCGCGAGTCTGTGTGTGCCGTCTGTCTCAGCTGCCTGGGAGCGTGTGTGCGTGCGTCTGCGCGTGTGGCTGTGTGTGTGCGGCGCGCGCGTGCGTGTGTGCGTGGCGCGCCTCTGGCCGGCGGCGCGGTCCCGCCGCAGCTGCCGAATCTCTGCGTGGGACGGCCGGCGCGCGCCCGCCGGGTGCAATCTTGTCACGCGCCAGTCGGACTACCCACCCTGCAGGTCCCGTAATGCCAACCCTCGGTTTTAGCCATAGACGAGATATTTTAGTTTTTGCGTTTGTTTTATATGATTGTGTTCGAGGGCCAGCTATTCAAGGCTTTCACGGCGCCAACGGCCTTCTAAATTAGTTTTGCTCAAGCCTCTCGTTGCCATATTGGACGGTAGTAGCGCCCCAGCCGAGCGGGCGCGCCCGCGGCGCCCTGTCACCCCCAGTTGGACCCGCGCATCGCCAGCGGTAGGTACTTGTTACATGCACCGTCGTACGTCTCGTTGATGTTGAATGCGATCGGTGGAGGGAGAGCGCGGGCGGCGGTCGGCCCGGCTGCCGCCCGGGGGCCCAGCAGCCGCCCAGGCCCAGTCGCAGTGACACGCTGTCAAATTGTAGATATACCTTTTCCAGCGTCGTTGGAGCCGCCTGTGCGGCCTCGCGCCGCCTTGTGGGCCCGTGTCTTGTCCGTTTTACTCGTTGGCTGTCATCACATATGGTGCATTACGAGAGCAGTGCTCTGTTAGATAAATAAATTTCCACAGTAGTCGTTGGTCTGGCGGCTGCAGTGGACGCGCGGGGCGTGGGTCGGGCTGCCGGGTCCGGCCGGCCGGTCGGTGGGTGGGGCCCGGCGGTGCGGCGGTCGCCGGGCCGACCGGTCGCTCGGCCGGTCGGTCGGTCGGCCGAGCGGCGCGGGGATCGATGGTGGCTGCTGCCGGCCGGCAGCGGCGGCGGAGGACGGCCGCCGGCGCCGCCTGCCCGGCTGCCGGCCGGCGCACATGGCCACGACGCTCAAATAAACAGCCGCGCCCTGGCCGGCCGGCGGACGGACGCCGCGCTGACAGACGCCGCCGATCTGGGTCGAGGCCTGTCCTGTCGACCGGCCGAGCCGAGCCGAGCCGCCGAGCGCTCCGTCACCGGCCGACGGGACTATTCTCCGCCGGGACCGTTCCGTGGGAACGGCGCCGGAGAGGAGAGGAGAGCGGCCGCGGCGCGGCGCCGCTGCCAGCCGGCCGCCGGCGGACGCTGCCAAATGGCGGCCGAGCGGCGGCCCGGTCTCCGCCGCAGCGCCGTCGGCCGTCGGTACCGCCGCAGGGCGCGGTCCTCCGACGGAGCCGTGACGTCACGCGGTCGATACCGGCCTGCCGACCGGCTAAAAATACCGGCCGGCGACCCGGCGGCGTTAAATTTAAGTTGGCCCCTGGCGAGAGTGGACTTTTTGTGCCCGTCCCGCTGCCGCAATATGCGTGCGCGGTGCCGGTGCGCGTCACGCGGACGGCCCCGATGGGCCCTGCCCGTACATGTCGACGTCGATGGCCCCGCAGCGGCGGGCCGACACCGGCGACCGACGACGCTCGGGGCGGCGCGGGGGGCCGGATAAACAGGCAGCTGTCGGCGGCTCCTGCGCCGCGCCGCTCGGTTCGGAGCCGCGGACACATAACGCGCCGTGTCGCGCCGCGGCGGTCACCGTGCCGCGGGAGCGCTGAATGGACGGCCTGAGGTGCGCCGGGCGGCCGTTCCGCGCCGCTCGCAGCCCTGGGGCGGCGCCGCCCAACCGCCACGGTGCGTCGCCGGAGCGGAATTTGGCAGCGCCGCGGGCGGTCCCCGGTCGGCTGCGGCGCGCCGACCGACCGTCTGTCTCCGGTCCGGGCCGGCGAGAGGCGGCACCAACAGACCCAGCCACCAGCCGGGCCGAACTCTGACGTGAGGTACCGATCGCTGTGACCTTTACCCACGGTGACGACCCGACCCGTGCCGTGGGTAGCTCGGGTCGCGCCCTAGACCGGACCGGTCGGCCGGCTGTGTTAGGGCTCAGAAGGACAGACAGACTCTGGCCGTTCTGTGGGTCTCGGTAGGACAGACAGGAGCCGCGGCCGGCTGGGAGCCGTCCAGCCGAGCGGTGTTGCTGTTGGCACCGCACAGATGGAGACGCTGCAACCACACCGGGCGTCCGACACTCACCGAGGAAATATCCGATATCAAACGGATCGGCGAACGAGGAAAACGGAGCCACTGATGAGCGGACGCGGGTGGGCACACCTGACGGGAGAGCGGCCCAACGAACGGCAACCGGGAACGAAATCTAGCGAACAGAACAATTCACGGGATCATCGCCTAATAAACTGTACATAATATGGGAACAATTTACGGAAGTACGGCCTAACGAACAGCCTGCGAACAGCAATTAACTACAGCCCTAGGTTTGACTGCCGGGCAAATGAGATGCACTCACCTATCCATAGTCTACACAGTAATATCCAACGCCGGCACTATTATTCCCATTTCAAACAACAGTGCCAGCCAACGCGTTGAAATATAATGGACCTTATCTAATTCACATATCTCCCCTCCACAACAATGTAAATCAGACATGCACGTCACGCCGGCCTCGACCGCAGCCCTCTGAAAGATCGCCCGTCATGGCGTCGGTAGCGTGCTGTCCATGGTACCGAGTCAACAATCACCGGGCGGCATCACGGCGCCCCGCGGCGCCCCGCGGCGCCCGCTCACGGCTCGTGCTCGCCGCGCGGGGAGAGGGCATTGTTTGCAGCTCGCCGGGAGCTGGCATCGCTGGGATCGGCGCCGCGCCTTCTGTTCACAGCTCGGCCTGTCGGTAAATGTTGATACATCGTGAGTAGGCGCCCCGTCACGGCGCCCCCTGATCGACACAATAGGTAACAGCGCACACGGGTCCACAGTGGGCCAAATCACGCCCATGTTCTCGAGTACTACACATAGTAGCCATGCCCAAATTAATGCGCATATATAAGCGCGTATGCCCGTATTATTTATGCAGTCACGACTGGCAGCCAGAGCAGACCACGCCTTGAACTGCCGCACCTCTTTTCCGTTCATAGGGCACACCATTAGACCGTGCAATGTGCATACTGGCGTCGTGCCCGATGCACAAGCACGCGGGACGCTCGTGCGCACGCCCGTGCGGGACGTTCGTGCGAGGGGCACTTTGGATCGCGGCGAGGCGCGCCTTATACGGCCGCCGATCTGGCAGAAATCGGCCGCCAGCCGTGCCGCCGCCATCACCGCTGCCGGTCCGGCTCCCGAGAAATGGTCGGAGGCGGCCGGCGCGGGCCGAGTCGGCGTTCGCCGCGGTTCAAGTCGGCCCGGGCCGGGCTGGGCCGGGCTGCTGATGGTATCTGAGCCGGGGTCTGGAGAGCGGGCGTCGGTCGGCCGGCCGCCGGGGCCCCGGGCGGCCTGTATACTCTCTCTGGCCGGTCTCGGGCGGCGCTGGCTGACCGGCCACTGGACCAAGGCCGGGCCCGGTCGGACGCCGGCACACCACCACCGGCGGCACGGCCCCTGCGCGTGCTCCACTTGGACCGGTCCTGCGGCGGCGAGGGGCGCAGCGACCGCCAGCAGACGGTGCGCCCGACCCGAGACCCGTCCGTGCGCCGGCCGATTTCGCAACGGACGCGCGCGTTTGTGTGTGTGAGCGCCACACGCAGGGCGCCTGCTGCTGCTGGTGCCGCCGCGATGTGAAAGCAGCGGAGCGTCGCCCCGGCTGTTGTAACAGCTCCCCTCGCGGCCACCATGGAAGAGCGATGGCGTGCCGTCCGCCCCAAGGTTACTATGCGCCTCACAGCATTGTGCCAGTCATTGATGGTCCTTGGGATTTCGGAGCGGACCAAGGGCATCAGCGGGCACATTTTGAACTGAGAGACTCGGAGCGGGACAGGGGGACTCTGAGAGGAGCTGCCAGGGCTGAATTAGGTCGTGCCACCAGGTGTCGGCCGAATTATCGCCACACACCGCCGACTTCTTGGCTTCGAATAGCGAATTATGCGCCAAGCCGTCGGCTAGCAGCACGTCAACTATTAACTCGTAACCGTTTTAGAGCAGCCATGCATGGTTGTTTGGTCTATTAAGGCCGTGTTACACTGCCGAATTTTGGCCACGACCCTGTCGCCGAATCACGTCGTGTAGGAAATCGGCGAACAGTTCACCGACAGAGGCGGACAGTTCGCCGACAGAGCCCGATTTGCAGATAACGGGTGGGGGGCCCCCCTAATCGTGCGCGGGTCGAAGCTGATCCATGATTCGGCGAACATCGCGAATGAATGGCGAATCTGTTGCGAATAGTCGGCGATACCTTGGCAACAAGTCGGCGCACGTAGCGACATGTCGGCGGTGACTCGGCGAGTGTTTGGCGATCACGTTCGTTTATTATAAGTTCGGCGAACGGCCACGAAATTTTCATTTTTCATGAAATATTCGTGGCGGTCGTGACGAACCGTAAAAGTCGCGCGGTGGGCACCGACTGGTCTGCGAAATGCCAAGACCGTGGAAGAAAGATCCCGAATCGGTCCGCGACATAGGATGACTTGCATATTCGTGCACATTCGTGTACCAAAATTCGGCAGTGTAACAAGGGCTTTAGCATGTCCTTTCAGAAATCGTACGAATTATATCTGCATCTCGTTGTGCATCTCGTTTCACAACAGTTAATGATAAACATTAGGTGTTGCCAGGGGTTCTATTTCCGGCACATTTTGAATGGCGCCCTTAAAGGTAGTGTGCCAGCTTTCCTGGACCGTATGGAGTTAATGGCCCAGATAAGGAGAACCGGATTTTTAGAACTTATCCATACCTTTAAAACTAATGGAAACGTCTTAAATTCTTCAAATTTTGAGTACCCAGTGCGAAATTCGCCCCGACGGGTTGTCGGTCGTACCCCAACCACATTTCACACCACGATGAACAATAAATGCACACACTGAAATCGCTATTACCGATAGGCTCATCCAATCAAGTTTCGATAAACCCGTTCATCAGCATCTCCTGCGGTTTCGAACACGCCTGTTAGGTGGTGCGGTAGACCGCGCCCAAAGCCAGGGCCCCGGTAACGTGAGGTAGCCGAGTCGGGGCAGCGTGCGCTGACCCAAGCCGGGGCCGCGCGTCCTCCCGGTGTCATGTGATAGCCCGGGGCTGCCCGCGGGGATGCGGTAGACCGCGCCCAAAGCCGCGGCCCCGGCTTGGGTCAGCGCACGCTGCCCCGACTCGGCTACCTCACGTTACCGGGGCCTTGGCTTTGGGCGCGGTGGTGGTGCGTCGGGCCGCGCGCTCTGACTTCGGCCAAGAAAAATGCGTCAGCTGATCATTGTCATTTCTGCCACTTTCATGTGGTGAGATGGGGTCATAACTTTAGAGACGGCTGTTTCATATCAATTATTTTACATAAAATAATATTTCCAACCATAAATAAATGTTCGACACCCAAATTAAAGAAACAATACCAATACAGGCTTACAGTTTAAATTCGACATTGTGTTGTCTACGATTAGACAGCTGATAACTCATTCCCGTACGTCGTAACTCTATAATGACCTTTGCTTATTGTCACATGTGCGCCGCATTCGTGATTGTTGCCGACGCCTGTTTGCAGGTGAGCCCACTACAGTTGTTATACATATCGAAAAACCGATAAACTTTTAGGCGAAAAAAGCACTATTTTAGGCCCATTTTTGATTTTTTTTTTGCGATATTAGGTAAAAACAGAAGCTTCTTATCCCAGGAAAAATAAAATGGGAA